AGCTTCCGGTTACCTCCAGAAAATAACATTTTAGATTTCGAGTGAAGCGAAGAAGCTTATGGTTTTACAAAGATGTTTTTTCTTTTTCTTTTTTTTTTTCTGTGCACAACTTTTCTACACTCAATTTTGCTTCAATTTATAATGATAGATCTCAATAATATAGGTAAAAATACATTTGGTGGAAAATCGAACTTTTTCGTTTTGCCAGAAAAGATAATTGACGAAAATGAAAATGAAATTTTTTGGTGAAAACGATGACCGTCCAAGTTTTCGACATGCCATCGTTCCCGTCAGGCGCACAGGTCTTGGAGGAAACACGTCACAATTTTATTTTCGGTGTTCAAGCAATACTCGAACACATACTAATATCTAGTGGAACAAGGACTCAATGGGACGATTTGATGCGTGACAAAAAGTGGTATCAAACCACACGAAGGAAACTACGCCAAAAGCCTCCAGGCTGTGTTTTTGCTAGATTTTATTGTTTAACAGTAATAAAATATTTCATCTTTTTTAAAATAAATTACTAATATCTTGAGGTTATTGATGTATTAACATTAACAACTTTACTCTAGAACTCGATAGCTGAATTTACTGACCGTACGGCCAAGGGAATATTACTCTTTGTGTGCTAAGACGTTCTAACACTAATTCCTTTATTCTAGCTCTTGGTATTTCTATATTTCAACTACAACTAGGTACTACTCGTAGTTGCGTATAGAGCCATAGAGGTATTAATAAAATAATAAAGTAAAAACAAAATTATTAAAATGGTTAATACTCATAAATAAATATATAAATAAAAAAATGTATATATGTATTTATTATATTTATAGAGGTATTAATTTTAATTATTTTTTTAATAATTTTTATAAAATAAAAGCATCAGTCGAGGACAATAGCGCAATGCTCCAATTACGGCCAACGGCCGCGTAATATATTTTGTTGAGCAAACGTACCTAATTTAACATTACAATAATAATGCTTATTAATAATTAAATAAAATATTTTATGATGTGAAATTTTCTTTTAAAAAATGGCTATCATTATAAGTTTGAGCAAAATTACTGGTAAAAAAGTTGTATACAGAAAAAAAAGGGCCATACTATGTTTTTACTAATACCTACATTTTGAACATATTATCTAGGTTAAAATATTTTTTTTCGAAACACGGGTTTGAATTAACAATCCTTAGGATAACAATGAATATGAATAACCATTTAGTTACAACAAACATACAATTAGAATATAAGTAGAATTATTAAACATAACATAATATCAGAACTTCAAAAAGCTATAACTTCAAAACTTAGTCAGTCCGTTCAATCTGACTTCACCATCGTTCTTAAATCGACAATATACATATATGTACAGAAAAAAAAAATTAAAAAATTAGATTGGTTCCACGTAATTTTTTACTCAAATAATTTTCGTCAAAATTTGATGTTAAATTTCCTTTATAAAAAAAAATACTACATTAAGCTCAATTTTTTGTTTTACCACTAAGTAGGACTCTTAATAAACCACTTGTTAAATTTTTAAGCACTTCTGTTAAGTCTAACAATTTTACCACAGAGTACGTACCAAATAAAAAATACGTATAAAACTCGCAAAATTAAAATATCTATAAATAGCTCAAAAATGGCTTAAATATTTTTGAAAATTTTACCACGTTTAGAAAATGTAAATTAAAGTTTTCTGTCCAAATTTCTAGTCCCTACGAATATTTTTAATTGAATTACAACAAATAAAATGATTGAAAAATAATAAAAGCTATGTTTTCGTAAATTTCCATTTTTTATCATGGTTTTTCCCATTTATTATGAAAACCACTTAGAAAATCGAAAAAAGACCTATCAAGGTTGGATAATCAAAATATAACTTCTTAATAGTACTATCTGGACATCATTCCTTTTCAGAAATTTTTGGTAGAATTTCTCAACACAATATATAAAAAAAAAGTAAACATCTTTGTAAAACCAATATAGTTATCACTACAATCAAAATCTAAAAAATGAATAAAATAGGTCTATAAAAAATTGTATCAATAAAAATAATGTAAGATTCAACACAATCTAAATTGATAAAATAACAATAGAATTTTTTAAGATGTACAAACATTTGTAACACTACAAAATAATATAGTATACATTATACTTAAATCCAAATTTAAAAATATTGAATTACAGTTTATATTAAATTTCAAATATAAAACTACAAAATCATAATAAATATAATATAATCATATATCTTATTTAGTAATTCACTAATTATAAAATACATGGATAATTTAAAAAAAAAATTAACATTTGTTCAGATTTTGTCAAAACTTAATTAATTATTAATTCACTTTGTAATTTTTTATTAGGAATATTACAGCCAACATAGTTTTTACTTTTTACAGCATTTGATAGTACATATTTCCATTCAGTACTCATATTCATTGTTAATGGGTTTGCAATAATAATAAGTAATGCTTTTGCTCTGGACAATGCAACATTGGTGCGTGTTTTGGTATTAAGGAAGCCAATATTAAATTTTGTATCCTTTTCATTTCCAAGACTACATTTGCTTCTGACCATGGATATAATGACAATAGTTTTCTCTTGACCTTGGAACATTTCTACTGTGCCTACTCTGGGTAAATTAATATCTGAATGGTACATTCTCAATAGCTCATTGATTTTATTGACCTGAATAAATAAAAAAAAGAATATTGGTAAATGTATGTTTGTAATTTCTAATTTTAAACTTTTACTGTACCTGAGCAGAATATGGAGTGATAATACCAATTTCATTAGTTGATATACCTACTTTTATTAATCGTGTTACATACAATAATACTTGAAAGGCTTCGTGAGGATTAAACCAAGATGGACTATAGGGATCTTGGTTGTTTTCCCCCATAATGCCATGTACAATAATTGGTCCATCACAACCAATATTCCAATGATGGTTTTCACTTAAATCACTTAATAATTTTCTTTCTGATGAATCAGGTTCAAGTTTCTACATATAGTAAAATAAAAAGTGTAAATTAAGTTTAATACTATTATTTTTATTTACTACTTACAGTTGCCACTAAAAACGAATTATAAAATAATTTACTGAAATTATTTACAATTTCTGGCAGGGATCGATAATTTTGAACCAAGTGTGTAATGACTTTAGGGTTAAAACCATTGTATTCTTGAAAGCATACAGGATCTCTCATATATGAAGGAAAATTAATTAAGCGAGCCAACATGGATTGTCCCAGACCAGCAGTTTTTACTAATCTTGACATAATAACAGGACCCAATTGTTTGGGATCTCCAGCTAACACAACTTGTCCCTGGCAAGGATCCAAAAATGCTAAAATTTATAAAAAATGAAAATATTATTAATTCATAAATATAATAGTTAATAGATACTAACACAAAGGTAATAATGATTCTGGTTCTGTTGATTGTCCAGCTTCATCAATAAATATATGAGAAAATATTCCTTTCTTTAAGCCCATTGTATAAAGTAAACCAGCTGTACCTTCAGTGGTTACAACTATTCGTAACTTGAGAATATCATTTTTCCTAATTAATTTTGAATCTGTAAAATGTGCATACAACTAATATTAATCATTTGTGTGTCATCATTTTTCATATTTTATGGAATTTGTATATCATAATTTCTTGTTACCTGGATCTTGAGGAACATGACATGAACTTTCCAGTTCTGGTAAAAAACAATATTTGTCGTAATCCATATTATAAGATGAACTATATAGATGAGTATAGCCAATTAAACGCTTCAATATAGTTATGTTAAACAATTCAGAACCTATTAATTTACCCATCAATATGTCAACAGCAGAATTTGTGGGAGCACAAATCAATAATCTAGTAAAAGTTCCATATTAACCAATTTGATGATTAGATACTTTATATCATTAAGATATTAGTCTGTAGATAGTCAATTAAATTTTCAATGATATTCATTAAACATTTTAGAAGCGATACTTTAGAATTAATTAATCATAATGAAATTTGTCCATAATAATAACAATGTTCATGGAAGAGACCATAGAGCAACAAAAAATTGACTTAATGTATAGATGTATGGATTAATTAATCATACCTCAATTAATACTGTCAATTTTATAGACTATCTTATTAAGATTTGAATGAAAACAATATTAAAATTATACTCACTTGCTTTTAGAAAATTCTTTATATACTTGAATAATGCTTTCTGTTAGTGTAATTGTTTTACCAGTACCTGGTGGTCCATAAATAAGGTATGGCATTGGTCTGGCTTCACCTTTCAAAATATTAATGACAGCTGTCTTTTGTTCAAAGTTTAAATTCTCATTGAACCATTTGAGTTCTTTTATAATATTTAGTTTTGATGACAGAGTATTGTTCTCCTTCAAATTGTCTGCATTGGATGTATTTTCATTCATCTCATTGTCCTCCATTATGTATAATCTGGGTGGTTTATACTCTAATTCACTTTTGTAAGGAAACAAAAATGATTCACCCAAATGGGAATTTTTCCACACTTCATTAAGAACGTCATGCTGTTTACGATGAATTATTCTAGAACTAAAAAAATTGACACTATAATCCCAATGGCCACATTTATTGTGAAATTCTGCATCAAACTTCAACCATATTTCATTTGCCAAAACTTTATGTATAATACCTTCATAACGTTCTTTATCACCTAGTTTAAATCAGAATACTAGAAATTAAATCAATCAAATAATTAATATAATTTTATACATTTTCTTCTGCTATTCTATTTAGTAATATATATTTATTAAGTTTTAATTGTGTTACTATAAGTTAATAAATAATGAGACAACTTGGAATTTTCTTTATCAATTTACCTAGTCTTTTGGTACAATTTGGTACATCTGTTACTACAGCTCGATCACCAGGAATTAATGATGGACGTTGTTCAGAAAGATCAGACATTTTTAAACTCAAAAATTCACCATTAGTTTCAAAATGTATTCTGTCTTTTGCATATTTTTGAAGAGCCATAGTACCCTAGAATTAATAGTAAATGTCATTAAATATAATATCATTTATTAAAATATTACTATCTAAATCTTAATAAATTACATAATTTACTCTAACATTGAGTTATTTATAGTTTATTAAATTTGTATTTTATTATAAATAAAAGCATATTAAAATTGGTGAAAAAATCAATAATTGATATTAAATTATAAGTAACATTAAGTTTATTAGCTTTAAGTACAAAATGATTAAGTTCTCTATAGGTACTATTGATTGTTTTTACATTGTATATTATATTTTTCTACAAATTGGCCAAGTACCATAATATTAAACAAACGTGGTAAATGATAAATTCAATTAACATATAAAAATACAACTTTTATTTAATTCTTAAATTAAGGTGCTCAGTTAAAAATAATTTTTTATTATAGTTCAAAACATATTATTTTAGTACTAATTGTACTAAAAATATAAAATACCATAATAAAATGAATTAAATAAACAAAAAATAAGTAATTCTAAAATATTTTATTTATTTATAATTGTATATAATAATTTATTTATATTTACTTCTATTTCCTCCATGAATAAAAGAGTGTGAAATTTTGCTTTGTAATTTTGATAAGTAAGAGTTTGAAAAGCAGCAGGATATAATTTTTCTATTTGTTCTTTGACCTCAGTAGATACATTGCTAAATAATACATACTATTATCAAAAATAATTTAATTGTAAAATAATTAAAACATAATGTTAAACTATAGTTGTATTTAAGCAGGATAAAAAATGTACATCTTTCAAAATTTATTAGAAGACATAAAATTATTATTAACATTAATATTTATAAAAAAACGTAGATATCTATTAATGGGACCTGAAGAAAATGTAGAAAATATGCTCAAAGCCTCTTACCCAGAAAAGGTGTCAGTGGTCTTTTTGACTGAAATTATTTTTATCTTGGTTATTATTTAATGTTAGATTAGTTAATATAATTAGTTGTTCCCAAAACCTTTAACACACATATATGCTGTCTATTTTAAACTGTTTTTGATATAAACAGTCCACTATTTTTGTTTCAATTGATATTTTTATTAAAAATCAGTAATTTGTTCTGTTAATACTGTATTGTTTGAATTCTGGATGTGTTAATTTCATTAATATTTTTTTTCTCTATTTCTAGTTTTGTTTAAAATTGTATTAAGCAACTATTATTCATATTATCAATTATGCAGAGAGCATAACATACTTAGTTATCCATACTGTACACAGAAAACTCAAACAGACTCTGATGAATAAATGTTTATTTTTTATTTCTGGTACACACTTTTTAAACGTAAAAGATCTATTTTTTTTTTTATTTTTTTTTTTTTTAATCAAAAAATATATAAATTATTAATCCTCAGTTTATCGATTGTACATTTTTATTCAGCTAAGAGCAGTATATACATTTTATTACAAAAATTAATTATTTTTATATATTATATTATTTGCTTGCTAGTATATAAAGGGAGTTGGCTTTGGAGGTGGTCCTTAGAAGGTCTCAAATGTATAATATATAATATAAACATATATGTTAATAAACTAACTTTTCAGCATTAGAAAAATAATATGTAATATTTCAGACAAAAAGACCACCACACTCATTAAATATTGCAATAAGACACCTCTCTTGGATTAAATACAATATGTATATCAATGTATAAATCATTTTTGTCCTGGTAAAATTGCCTGGTAATTAACAGGAAACCATTCTATATATTATGTTTAAACAAGCCTATATAAAATAATTTAACTATATTACATAATATGTTGATGTTCTATTTGAACAACATTATTGTAATATATTTAAACAATATACATATTCCATCCATTATAATTTTTAATTATGTTTACAAATATCTATTTAAATAAATTATCATAATTTTATTTATATGGTGGCTGGGACTCCCTAACAAATAACAAATTTTATAATAGCATAGAAAAAAGTATTGCATAGTTTTATACATCTAAGTAATAAGTCAAAATAGCAATTTTAAAATTAATAACTACGAATTTCAATAGGAATGTTCAATGATGAAAGGTATAAAAATTATAAACAATATAATAGTATATAAAAGTACGTGTTAAATTTTCCATTGTCCGTCCAATAACATTTTGTTAACTGTGGCGGAATATTCCATTGTCCTATTTGTCGATATGGAAATTGTACTTTTTTCCCAATAAGCACACCAGGGATTAAATGTTCATTCTGCAGTTCGAGTATCCTCCTATAATATTTATAACATAATGAATTGCCCACTAAACACATGTATGTTCCTTTATGGTTCATTTAATTATTAAAATTTACTTCATATCAACTTCATGTTTGACATAGGCATTTGGATTTTGTGGGATAATTATTCTTGAATCAGTTACATCAATATTTACACCCACTTTATAAATAATATCTATGAAATTAAATTCAACTTTTTCAATAGATCTACCTAAATATCTAAAAAAAAAAAAAAAAACATAGTGTACACATTTATTATTGTATTAATATTAATTGATTATTTTTCAGACTTATTTTTTGATTAACATTACAACATATTATTAAAGATATAAAGATGCAATATATTAAATATATATATATATTTATATACTAACCTTCCTTTGAGAGTAATATCAAAGATACATTGTGATTGCACTCCAATTGTTACAGGTGTATTTTGTTTATTAATAATAGACAATTGTACTCTTTTTCCTTGCATAGTTTGGTAATCAAATAATTTTTGCTCTTTAACATAGCTATTATTTCTGAATAATATCTAAAATTTTAAAGTAATACATACACTTTAGACTAATAAATACATATCATACTTTATACACTACTATACTTTATCTATAAAATGTATCTATTTTTAAATTTTCAAAACAAATTATTAAAAATACTAAATATGTTTTCCTTATCCAGTTTATACTTAAGTGGTATTTGGAAATTGTAGTAATTTTGAATTTGTTTTGTTGTTTGGTTAATAATATTAATACAGTATTTTATTTATATACTTTTTCCTAATACATTATACAAATATAAATAATGGTTTAATAGTAAAATTATTTTAGATTGTCTGGTATTTTAAGGGAAACAGCTATTTGTGATTTATTATAATTTTTAATTACTAGACAAGCTTTATTTTTATTACTCTTGTTACTACTGTTAAGAATCACAATTTAGAAACAGTTTCTTTGTATATGTATAATAAATAATATAAAATATTAAAAAAACTAAATTATAATAAGACCTGTATTATCAATTCTTGTTCCAAGTCAACAACTTTAGGCATTTCACCCAACACCTGAACAGTCATAACATCTTGAATATCATTTTTTTCATTTGTGATATTTTTGTTGACTTCATTTGTATTAAGCCACTGACCATTGATAGTTGTATTATCATTGAGCTCTACCCCAACCACTGGATTTGGTATGATTCTAAATTTGTTATTTAATTAATTAATGACAAAGGGAAATTTACCTATATTATACATCATGATACATGACAATTCAATTATACTTTGCTGGTTGATGATGATCACCCTCTTTATTAGATGAAAAACAACTAGCAACAATCCATTCATTTGAATTCTTTTTTCTGTAAAGAGACACCCTCACAGGGCAATTTAACTCCAATGAGGGGAAATCACGAATTTCTTTTTCTGTTTTCGGTTTATAATGATACTGGTTATTTATTAAACACATATCTGTATCCAATATCTTAGTAACAAAACCATTTATATATTTAATATCTAATGTTGGGTCCAAAATACATGATATCTAAAATTTGAATAAATATATTATTATTAAATATGTCTGGACAATATTTTGTAGAATATAATTATATATAATTTATAGTTTCAAATTTTACCCAAAAATCATTGTCTGATGATATGTTTCTTTCAAAAATAATATTTGGGTTAATTTCGGGTATATCCGGTTTCCGGCAAATCCAATTGAAAATATTAGAGAAGAATCGTGACATAGCTTTATTTCCAATATAATTAAGAACTTATTCCTAACCTTGTTGATAGGCACCTACCTAAAAATGATAATTATCTAAAAAGTAAAAAACAAAAAGTGGGATAATAATCAAAAATTATATCATTAAAATGAATGTAAAAAATAGAATAACACTCCATTGTTTTTTCTTTTTATACTATAAAATTTTCCCTGTATTATATTTTTGTGTACACTATACAGAGTATATATATATATATTTAATGTATTGCTGAGCTAGTTATGGATAAGTTTTGAATTAAAACGATTTATTATACATGTAAGTTTATTGTTATATTTAATTTATAAAAATGTATTTAAATATCTTGTTAAATTGTTACTATAGTATATTAAAAATTATAATAATTTATAATATTCATAATAACTAAGGTATAGAATTTTATGTAATAAAAAAGTCAAATATATTTATATAGTTATTTTTGCTATCTACATAATTTAAAAACAATTTAGAAAAAAATATAAATATATTATGTAATATAATTTTTATAATTATTATAAAAATTAACAAATTAATAATATTTAGTTCTACACAGACATTGACAATAATACCATAATCAATTAATATTAAAATGCCATGGTTCTTAATTTCTCAAAGAAATAAATACCTAACAATGCAATTCATTTAATTTTTATTTGAGCATAATATATTATAATATTAATATGTAATAATTAATGAGAAAGAAAATATAGATGACATATATAATAAATTGTATATTTCATAGCATTCAATACAATAACATTACTTATTTTAATTTATATTTTTTTTTTTCATTTATTCAATTTGTTAATATTATAGCTGTTTGCTGTGAGCAAAATTAGTAGTTATTTACTATTTATTTTTAATATTCTATTTTTATTTTTATTTTAGTTAAATACCTACACTTAAATGTTTGGATTATTATTTTTTAAATTCTGAGCAAAGTTATGGTTTAACTATGATTTTTTTTTTTTTTATTTATAAACAATTTTTCTATCTTGCTATCCCGATATCTTGCTTCAATCAAAAACACGCAAGAGAAAATTTTGTTGCACATTGGATAGTTGGTAAGCAAGTATGTTTTTGATTTTTTAGCTTTCATAATACTTCGGAAAAATTGGAAAACTCATCAAATATAGGAAAATTGAATGCATTACTGGTTTCATTATTTTCCAGTTTGATTTTTTTGTTGTACATCACTTAAAGATTTTCGTAGATATAACATTTTCACAGAATACTTATACTATCCTTTTCTATATAGCTTTTTGATCTATTTATGAACATTTTTTTAATTTTTATTTAGTTATTAGGTTGATAAAATAATTTGATCTAACATAAATTATTGAAATTTCAACACCAGGTTTATAATGAGTTGAACTTATAAAAAAAAAAAAAAAAAGTTAAACTGTAGATATTTATATAAATAGAACTTTGAAACCATGTGTAATCAAACATCGCTTAAAATCATTTTTCATTAGCAATAGTTTATCATTGTTTACAAATGTAAATTAAATAACTTTATGTATCCTACATTTTCAACTTCTAACGAACAACTGTGGCACACATTATCAACTCTTTTTTTAATATTGATATTTTATAAAGAAGGATAATTGGACATAAATTCATTAAATTATACATTTTGCTATGAACTGATGGTAACCAACTATATTCTTTAGTCCTTACACAAATGGGATATTAAACAATTTTTATGGATAAAATAGGGTAGAATGGCTGTATACTTATTTCGTCCAGTAAAAAGAAAATATTCATCATGACCACAAAACTGCATCCACGATATTTGGGTAACATGTCTGAATTGCGAGCATGGTTTTATCACACAGCTGTTCCGAATTGCGTTTGCAATAATAATAGTTATTGTTATTCTAATTGTATATATTCAATGATAAAGGACCTCATAAATATTTGGGTATTAGCATGTCTTATTGATAATTGACCTCATCTGTAAAAATACCACCCAAAAATTTAAACTACTGCCCCACTGAGTGCGATTTCCAGTTATTACATTTCTATAATTTTACATACGTTTTTGCGTTTTTACCTCTCACGTGTCCATTTTATTTTTCATTTGTTCCAGTTTAAAGTAAGATAATGGGGATTGGTGCTCACATAAAAAAAATAAAAATAAATATCATTGTAAAACCAATACATTCCTCGCTATACTCTGAATCTAAAATCAGTATAATAGTATTTCTCAATGCGCCAAAGTCAATTCTAAATAAATAATAATAAAATAAATAAGCATTTAAGCTAAAACCATACTAACGACGAATTTCTAACTTCTAAAACTTCTTTCATAAAGATTTCTACAAACTAATTCAAACAGCTCTGAAGCCAATGTCAAAAAAGACATTTTAAAAAAAAAAAAAAAAAATGAATAACAAATGATGTCCAGTAGAGTAGACTTATACCCCTTTTTAACATAACGAACAAATTCTTTAAAATGGCTAATTTTTCTAAATTAAAAACATAAGGGAAAAGAAAGAAAAACAGTTAACTCCAATGAAACTCTAAAGTGCTATAAATATTAGTGCATTTTTCCTATAATTTTTTACAATTATTATGAAAACAAAATCAAAAAAATACCTTTTCTTTACAAAAACTAGATCCAAAATACATATCTCTTGTAATTTTTTAGTTGGAACAAAATTATTGCTGGTAGAAAAGTTGCTCACAGACAGAAAATAAGAATAATGACACATCATAATAAAATCAATTCCTCTTTTTTATCAGAATCTAAAACTTTATAAGTTATTTATTTACTATTTTAAGTTTCCTTTGCACTATATGTAATTTGATGATGGTCCCTATCCAAAGCTAATTGTCACTAAATATTAATAAATACATTTTTACATTTTATTGTTATTACTAACAATACATACATAAATTATAAAATTAATCTCTTTGCCTAAATTATTAATTTTAATGATGATTAAATAAAAAATAAAACAATTTGGGAGTTATGGGAACCTCCCACCTATATGTAAGTTTTAAAAAAAAAATGTTTTAATTGGAAAATCAACCCGACTTACTCCACTACCGCGACATTTTATATCTTGATGGAAATCACTACACAAAATGAATCACAGGTCGAATATAGAACACTGATCACATGGTAAGTTAAGATAATTATTACGAAAATGACACATAAAACAAATAATAGATAGTTATACAAAAAAAGAGAAAAAAATTAATTAAATAATTGAATATTTGTAGAGAAGTGAAGTTACAAGTGAGGTTTCAACCATAGATAACAACTGTTATAAGCTTATATTAAGTATGTTATTTGATTTAAATTGTTTTATTTTGATCATTGTTTCTTCCATAGCTATTGATTGGATGGTCCGGGAGCTGGCTATGTCGCGCTATCTATGTTTGCACTTACAAACACGCTTTACTCATATTGAGCAGATGGTGTGGCACAACGGGACAATAAACGAAAGTAATGATTTTATTATTTTCAATTTTGTTTTTTGTTGTAATTTAGATGAAAATATCCGTAGAGATTTGAAATTTAGACAGAACACTTATATTTGCCTTTGAACGCGGTAACATCGAAATATTTTAGCTATTTTTAAGCTATTTATATATATTTTAGTTTTGTGAAATTGTTAGGTAATTTTTATTCAGTAGGTACTTTGTAGATAAAATTGTTAAAAAAAATTGATTCATTATAAATCGTAAAAAAAAAAAATGAGTGTAGTGTAGAATTTTTGTATAGCGTTAAACTATGGTGTGTATGGCGTATGAACTAGATGTTGAACGTTCATTTAATGGATATGTCAGTATAAAACCAAATAGTATTGGTTTTAATTTTGAAAATTTAAAACACTATATTGGTCTGCTATTGTTTTACTTTGAAATGATTTTGTTATGATTTGTAATGAATTATTACATTTTGTGAACATTTAAAAAAAGTTAGTTTAATTCAATCATATTATACCAATAGTTATTAATTACATTATTTCAATACCAATAATTTTATTTTTAATACATATTATTATATTTGTACATATTTTAAATTCTCTGAGGAGCAAAAAATGTATTGGTTTAACTTTTAAAATAATGTTTGTATATTTTATTTTTTTTTTTTGTGAACAACTTTTCTACCAAATTTTGCTCCAATTTTCAAGTGAAGCACTTCTGAAAATAAATTTTGCTAGAGTAGTACTTAAGGAAGGTCATTTTTTGATTTTCTCAGGGATTTTTATAATAAAGAAGAAACATCTGAAAAATATTATAGCATTTTAAAACATTTATAACCAAACTCCGCTCAGAATTGTTTTCATTGGTAATTATTAATCATGGCGTATAGATATAAATTAAATATCCCTTCTATCTTCTCAAATTTTTACCAAAAACAGTGGCCCACCCAACGTGTAAAGTATGTCATTCTTTTTTTTGTAGTTGTTTTATATTACATAATATATCCCAGCCTTAATTATTAGGTATCATTAAAAATATCATGACCAATTTTTTTTTTATCGAATAAATGTTAAATCAACCAAAACAAGTAATTCACGTAGTTATAAAATTAATCGCGTTCTTTCCAAATATTGCGTCCAAAGCGGATAACTACTTTTTTTTTCAACCACTAGATAGTTAAAATTTAAATATGGTAATTCAATTCATTAATGTAATCGTTGATATATTTATAGATGAAATTTAGTAGTTATATTTTAGAGGCATGAAAATATCCTACAGCTATCAATTGTATATATGAACATGGTTATGATCCAACTGGAATTTCTGGTAAATGTTCAAAACATAAAAGACACAAAACAATAGAAGATACATAGATTTACTTAATGTTAATGACGATGACTACCGGACTACAAACACTTTGTCCTTAGATCTAGTCTAGAAATAAAACCAATACTTAATATCTCAATTTTTCCCATTTAATACACAGGTAAAAAGTTTATACATATTGAATTATACTATACCAGACTTGAGTACTTGCTCCGAATTTTATGTGTAGATTTTTTGCATTTAATGAGAAAACTCTTGAGAAAATCGTAAAATGAGACCTCCTTAAAGTATCTACCCACACCAATTTCCTTTCAAAAAAGGTGCTACGTTTAAAAAACTGAGCAAGTTCTTTGGTAGAAAAGTTGTTCACAGAAAAAAATAAGTAAATAAATAAATATCTTTGTAAAACCATAAGTTTCTTGGTTCCACTCAGAATTTAAAAGAAAAAAACAATACCACTAAAATTGATATCAAAGAGATTTTTTATCCCAAAACAAATCAAGCAAAACAATCACTCGTATTCGATTTATTTATTAATTCACTTCGTAATTCAACCTTTTATTTTCCTAATATAAAAATTAACATTTTTTATCTGAATGCATACAGGTGTTAAATGTTTATTAATTAAATTAGTTTATCTTAATTAAATTGTGATTGCCGTCCAACGACTCCAGGTTCACGTGCGGTTATCCATAAGTATACACCGTAGCGTTCCAACACCGTGGGCAGGTAATATAATTATATTTTTCTTTAGTTATTGATTTCGTCACCATTCTCAGATTTACGACTCCGAACCCCTTTCAAACATTGGAAGGAAGGTAGTAATATAACTAATAGGCTGAACTTTTATTATGATTAAAGATAAATCATTCTTTGTAGTACCAAAATTTAGATCGATTATTTCACACTATATAGGTACACTTTTATACCTACTCCTCTATATTTTATTCTTTGTAGATATTTCTACGTAGTTATCTTATAATTCCAAATATATTTGTCTTCTATTACTATACATAGTGTACTATCCCCCGAACCAAACCGAACTCTCTTTATATTTCCCCCCATTAAAGCTTCTTTTAACGCCCCTTACTTTTCCCCCTTTTTTTATTTTTCCTATATTTTGTATTACTACAGTTATATGTAAGAAAAGTTATTAAAAGTAATAAAATAAATATTAATTGCTATAATATTTATTATATTCTAATATATGATAATATAGGTTTAAATCATTAAATACACATATTTACAATGAGTTTAAATATGTGTCTTATAGTTACTTAAATCAGTAGTCAAATTGACTACTAATATAAAATCGTTTATACGTATTTTAGTAGAAAAAATTAAGAAGTACTGATTTTGATAAAGATTTTCCCAACTATAACTACAATGTTTAAAAAATAACATGAAAATTGGGCCAATTATACTACAGTTTACAGCAACGCAATGTCTACTATTAAAACGGACATACATACAAAATAGAAATTCTAATAAAATCAATAGACACTAAAATTTAATATTCATGTTAATTTATACTCCACTAAGAAAGCTAGGAAGGTTATTGATAATATAATTTTTTCTAATATCATATATATTATTTCCATTAATTATATTTATCAATTGAGATAAAAATATATACATTTTCTAATTTAAAAATCAATTAGTGAGTTAGGTATTAAAATCCGTTCATAAATTAAAGTTAAAAGAAATTATATTCTTTATTAGTTATAATAATTATATTTTAGAATTTGAATGGAACGAAGAAGCTTATGATTAAGATTTTTTTTTTTTCTGTATACAAATTTTTTACATGAGGACTTGCTCTGATTTTTACGTGTAGGTTTTTCGCATTTGATAAAAAAACTCTTGAGAAAAACGACCTTCTTAAAGTACCTTCCCACGCCAATTTCCTTTCAGAAAAGGTGCAATACACAGAAATCCGAGCAAATCTCCTGGTAGAAAATTTGCGCACAGAAAAAAAAATGCTACACTTGATACATCAAAGCAAAATTTCTAGCATAATTTTTGAACAGTGTAAAAAAAAAAATGAAAAATAAACATCATTATACAACTAATACATTCGTCGCTCCGCTCAGAATCTAAAATACACTTCACAATAAATCACATGCTATTCTCCGAATTTATTAAACAATGGGTTATAGATTTAAATAGGTATTATATTTAACGACGTATCAATAAGTACATACATTTTTCATACGAATACTATAACACTCCTCTCAGAGTGTAATGTTCTTCAATTTAAATGTATTTAATATCTGACAGTATATTTGCACAGTTTGCTTTTGTCGTTCTAGTTTGTCTTCCAACATTTTAATTTTCTTGTCGCTCTCTGAATTGTAGAGTTTAGCTTTCATGTAATTGTCGATTTGATTGCTCTGAAGAAAAAAAATTGAATTAAAATATACCTTACATAATATATTCATATGATACCATGTGAATGTAGTTAATAGTGAATGTAATAATGTGAAGTTCACATAAGTGTTTTAAAAATAAAAATTAGAATCAATGTTGAGTCATTGAAAATAGTGTCGGTCTTCTGTCGAATGGAGTATATGCGCACTTCACCTAGTTAGTTAATTTGTTACTCCGAACCTACCTCTTCTGATATTTTTTGAAATGTATATCATACACCCGAAAATGAAACGTCTGTGAAGTTAGTCCCCGATTACGGCTGAAACGTTTCGGATAAATTGTAAGTTATAACCTTTTATAATTATAAGTAAATATAAGTTCATTCCCAGAATTTATAAATTAGCGCTAACTAAGTTATCAGACGATTTAGGTTTTGTGCTGCAGCACCCACCCACCATCGCCAAATCGTTCCACGTTAATTGTTTTACCAAAATCAAAAATTTCAAAACCAAAATGTATTTTAACTATAAGTCCAACTATTTATGGAATTTTAATATAGGTTTCTATTTGAAAATCAAGAGTAGTTATTCGTTTCACCCCCAAAAATAAAAGTGACAAAAAAAAATTATGTAATATTTGAGCACATAATTATTTCAATTATTATTAAAAAAATTAAAAATTAAAAATATTGAATAGGAAGAAATTTATTTCAGGTTGTAGATCTTCGAGTTACACCTTTTATTTTTAGTTGAAAATATCTTAATTAAAGAAAAAAATGTAATAGTTTTGGTCATTCATAGATTTTTTTTAATATTATTAAAATAATTCTTTTGTTGTGAACTTTGGTTAAAAATATTGCGTAAATCCGTGTTCATGGATGATTATCTAACAATTTGAGTTAAAAGTAGAAGCAGGTATTTATATAGTATGTATAAAAGTATAGTAGTATAAATAACTAAACAAATACAAGTAAATATATTATTTTAATTTCTTATTTATTATGAAACTTAAAATTTGTTATTTATTAATAATGAATAATTCAAGCAGATACTTAATAGGTGTATACTTTGAAAATTATAAATAATAAATTATATTATATAATATTAAGTATAAAAATATAATATAATGCAATTAAAGGGCTATAACTTACAATTTATGCAGAACGATTTGGCGATGTAGGAGGGAGCAGCCATTCAAAAATTAATTCGTCCGATAACTTAGTTAGGGCTAACTTACAAATTCCGAGAATGAACTTATATTTACTCAAAATTAAAGGGCTATAACTTAAAATTTGTCCGGAACGTTTTGGCCGTAATGGAAGGGAAAGGTTAGCCAACTTCACAGACGTGTAAATGAATGCATTAACTCTGTTCATATTTTTATTTTACACACGACATTGTTATCCGGTTTTTTATACGTAAATAATGTAATAGAATATATTCGTTATTTACGTTCTAATAGGTAACAGAATCGTTTACCCCACAAAGTATTCCAACTGAATATCAGTTATTATATTAACAATATCGGTAATAAATAGCTACGAGTATAATATTATGATATTATTACTATTGCTTATTTGAATGATAATTTGTTACGGCCAATGTCTGTCAACGGCGTAGCTAGAAGTGGTAACAAAGTCAGAAGTATAACCTTTCCTTTCAAATATCTCATACGACTACTTTTTAATTGTTTAAAAATAAGGAACTATTTATTTATAAGTAATTAAATGTAGATGCATGCAGTTTATTGTAACGTTTAAACATAATATATAGGTATACGGTTTTTTGATCTTGTTTATTGAAAGGTTCGCGTGGAAACAAATAGATTGGCTGGAGAGATTTAAGGAGGTGCTCAAAAACGTTTTTAATAATTTTAACTTTTTAACACTTACCAAAACCTCTTTGGGTACGGTAAAATGAGTTTGGAACATCTCGCCATCATCAACGTCCTATAAAATTGTATAATCGATTATTTAAATAAAATAAATTATTGTCTTTTATTAGGTATAGGTAGGTTAGGTTAGGTTATAAATTATGGCATTTACTTTGATGATGGTAACTAATGATTTTTTCCTGTAATTTTCTATTTCTGCATCCAACACTTCCAATCCTAAATTCCGTTCGAATTGTTCTAGTTTATACATTTTTGAACAGTAAGTCATACGGACGGTTCCTATAAGAATAATTTGCTATTATAACCTATAATACTATGGGTACCTATAATTTATAGGTACCCACATAGGTACGTTTATAAAACAGCAAACTACACGCGAATGTACGGGGCATCAAATTTTGTAATGCAGCTATAATTGTATAGAATTTGCCTTTCGTTTTTTATTTTTTATTTTCGTAAGTATAATTATTTATTAGATTAATTTATTAACGTAACATATACAATATACATAATACATGTATTATGTATATAATACTCGTAATATCATTTATATTATCATAATATCAATATGTATTATGCATTTAACTTATTAATTAAGATTCAAATTGAATCTTTTAAAAAATATTTACTCCTATAAACGATCTCTACAACCAAAAAATAAAAGCTTTGGTCATCTCTGCAGGGCTCTTATACTGACGTCTTACATAATACATTTAGAAATTTATCACAAATAGTACATATTATTTTTTTTATGAGCATATTGAAATATTATTTGAACACTCACTTCTTAATTCTTCAATTTCTTTATTCAAAACGATCATGGCTCGTTCCTTTCGTATTAGGTTCTCGTGTGCCAACTTAGCTTGCATAAAGTCACTGTCGCTCACCTTTTCCCGGATTATTTGCATTTCCTTCAACGTATTACTTAACAATTTTTTTTTATTTATAATGTCGTTTATTCTTAAACGATATTCGTTAATCGCATTATCACTTGCAAAAAAATGCTTTTTAATAAAATTCATGTATCTGTCGGAAGGTATGCGTTTAGTGAGTAGATCGTATCCAGGACCCAAAACTTGTGTCCTACAAAAGTCAAAGAAATATATTCATTTTACCATGTTGGTTTTATTAGATATGTTAAAAGTATAATCAAAGTAGTGCATTTTAAAACATAAAATAGTTTTAGTTTTGTGGTAAATTATTAATATTAAATTATTTATATAGTAATTAAAGCACGTTTCCTGTTAAAAAGACCTGAATTCACATAATTTTTGTTGATAGAAAACAATTTTAAAATTTGTATGTGTAATAATAAGCGTAAATTACCTATGTGTAAATGTTAAAAGTTGGATAATGTCAATTTTCATATAATAAAAACGATTTTGAGCTATTTATTTTAATATTACCCTGAATTAGCTAGAGGTATTTTTATTTAAATTATAAAAGAATGTTTGTAAATACAAATCAGTAAGAGTATTAACAAATACAAATATATATGTTATAAGTAAAATCCGAAATCCGTCAAAACTAGTTTTCACAAATCCCTTTAGTCAATTCTAGTTTTGACTAGTTAAAACTAGAATTAACTACAGATTTAAATAAGTTGGATAATACTAGTTCCAACCTGTTTCATTTTTTACTTCTTCAATTTTATCATATAGCAATTTTCCGATTTGGTTCCATTAGGTTTTATCGGAAGGATACCGAGTTGTCAAATTCGTTTTACTCGCCACTTTTGTTGAACGAGCTCTCTGATTTTCTTTGGGTAGGTGAACTGATGTTCGTTGTCTTTATGAACTTCGGGTATTGACGTTTATACTGCTTTAACAATCTTATTAGTCAGTTTTTGTGCTGACAATTCAATGTCAGTTGACGATTATAGCCACACAGCAAGAGAGATAGATTTTTCGGGAGTATTCTAAAAAGGTCCAAGCATATATTTTTTTGTCAGAAAATATTTCCGTTTTTTCATAATAATATTTGAGTTCAACCTTCAACTTCAATATAGTTAGAAGAAATACCTTTAATTTAAACTCCACGACACTTCTTGTCTCTTTCTAGGTGCTTCTATTTTAATTTTATAATAACACAGACTATCTAGATTTAATGTATATTTATTATTATCTTGTAATTTAAATTGGCTCGAGCAACATCGGGTGAGGCAACTTATAACTTATAAAATACGATGTCAGGTATGTGAAGATACTAATATTATTATTCAGGCCATCAGAACAATATTTGAATAGACTATTTTATTAAGGGGTTATGACCATTCCTAGTTGTCACATGTTTTAGACTAATAAGCACTGAAAATGTATATATATTTTCCGATGGCCATTTAAATTTTTTTAAATATACGAGTATGTATGTAATAAAATTCCAAATATTTTGATTTTATTGTCTCGTCATTAATTTAAAAGTTTTAAGAAGACTCTGAGGTAAATGTGCCGAGTGAGGAGACGTTTGAAATTAAATAATCTTCTCTCCATCAACTTAAAAATACAACCACTGCTTGTATTACAGTACAATCTTAACCTTAAGCTTCAATAGATGTGCCGTGTTGTCGTTGCTCACAGCTTCTTATCGTTTAGTTACTCATACTCTGTATTACTGTTATTGAACTTGTGTGTGCTTCATCGATTATAATTATGTTGCTAGCTATCTATATCCGTCCCATTACCACTCCTCTGCTGCAGGTAAATACTCTATACGTTTTAACTGTCGGGTCGGAAATCCCTCGCTATTTTTTTCCAGGCGACCGGACCTGCCGACATTTTTCTGTGCAAGTTTGGCTAACTCCTTGTATTTATGCAGCATTATTTTTGTCAAGTATAACTTTGTACTCTAATTGGGGTTAACTACCTCGTTTTTCAGGTGCTCTTAAAATTTAACATGTCTGCTAACCCGTCTGATGCGTCGGAAACTTCTTCCGAGCAGCCACACAATTTAAATAATAAGAAAAAATTTACTCTGCATGGTACCTGGTGTACGTTGACGTCTATACAAAAAATTGTCTCATCTCATAATGGTAAGCTTAGGAAAATTGTCGATAATATTAAACGTCTTAAGAGTAACCTTAATTTCTTTTTGTCTGTAATTGACAATATATCTACTGAGCTGAGCTTGATCAAAGAAGAAAAAACTACTTTAGTTTCCGAAGTAAAACTGCTTCGTAAAAGATTCGACCTTTTAAAGAATAGTCTACATACTCTTGGCAAGGATTGTGATGTCTACTATGAGGTACGCAAAAGGCTTCTAAATTAATGGTGTACAATATACTTCCATTAGCTGATGAAAGTCTATAGTCGATTTCTAGTCTGATTGGTGATCTGTTTTCCGATCTCTTAGCTAGGCGTATACTTGTTTCTTCTAGATGAGTTGGTCGGGAGAGATCACTTCCACGGCCGATTATTGTTGAACTAATTATAATCCGTCTAATGTTTTTATAGCATTGAAAGTCGTAGTCCAAGCTCCGTAATTTTAAGCGCTGGAGTAAAGCATGGATTGATGAAGATCTGACCCTTAAAAAACTTCAAAAAACTTCATAAACTCAACGCAGATCTCAAGTGCTTGAGTGATGGTGGTGACAATGGCTGACCCTTTAGGTATTACAATAGATCCCTTCAACTTATGCAGAAAAATTCAGACAGATCAATGCCATCGACACAAAAAAACTAATTTCCGGCCACGGTAATAATATTGTTCAGGTAAATAGTAAAAATATACTAAATAATATGGCTTTTGGTTTTTACCAAAACTGCTGAGGCCTTAGAACTAAGTTAAATATGTTTAATTATAATATTGCATGCTTTAATTATGTATTCATAGTATTAAGTAATTACAATATTTTTCGTTGTGATAGGAATAATGTGACTAGAGCTGTTCTAGAGGTGGTGGGGTAATTATCAGTGTGTGCGCTTATGTGCCTGCCCATTTGGTGTCAATTTACGGTGTAATTATTGAGCAGTTGTTTGTTAGATTTACTTTTAATGGTAAAGAGTTTCTAATTAGTAGAGCTTACTTGCCTCTAAATTTTCCTTCTCTTATTTTGAAAATAATAATACTTCTACGGTAGAGAATTTGTTAGAAGTAATACCTATCATATGTTCATCTGTTGTTCACTTTACTAGTTAACAGTGTCAAAAGTGTTATCAAAAGATGCCAATTCCTGGTTATCGCTGATGAATTCAAATTATTTGTGAAGATACGTATTATAAATGATTGCCACTTACTACAAAGTGAGTTGAATGCTTTGGCTGAGTGGGCTGATAATATCGGACTATAATTTAATATTGCCAAATGCCGCTCAATGACCTTTCATAGAAAACGTGTTCCTCTAGTATTCTCTTACTCTCTACTGATACCATTCTTACCGTTCTGGGTAATCCAATTAATGATCTTGGGATTCAATTTGATCAAAATCTAAACTTCCAAGCCCACATTGAAGCATCTTGCTGCAAGGCTCTGAAAACGCTCAGATTTTTAAAGCGACTTGCAACCAATTTAAATTTTTGACTCCCTTTAAAGACCTATATTGTGCACCTATATTGGAATCCACACAAAGGGAAACATAGAGATCAGATAGATTTCAGCGAAAATTGTTGAACTTAGTTGCTTATTTGCTAAAACTTGTCACCAAGTCGCATGAGTAGGATTCGGTGTTGAATGCTCTAAGTCTGCAATTCCTGGCAGGTATGCGAAGAATTGCTTACCAACTATTCGTCCTTAAGGAAGCTTACTGAGGAAATTATATAGTCCTGCGTTACTTAATCAGATTTGTTTTAGAACGCCTTACCTCTGGTTCCGATCATTCATCCTTTCGCCATTAAACACTGCACCACTAACTACTCGCGTAACCAACCGATGGCTAAGATGATGCACATTGCCAACGAGGACCCGTCATTTCTGTTTAATTAATATTGTGATACTGTAGTACTGTTAATTTAATTATGTAATTATATATCTATCTGTAAGCTATCACTTAAGTTTTGCTGTACTTGGGCCATGGCTCGTTTAACAAAATATAATAAATAAAATAGTTATCTTGTATAATCTTGTGTAACATACGTATTAATATACCATCATATTATATACATGTATACTATGATTTATATATTATAATAAATGGTATTATATGTGTAATAAGTAAGTATAATAAGTTGATTTTATTCGCAAAGTTAAAAGGGCTTAATTTGACAGAATTTTAGTAAAAGTATTTGGTATACTCGTATGTATTATATGTAAATACATAATAGATTCAATAGATTATTCGTGTTAACTAAGTAGTTATATAAACTTATGTGGTATAATACCACTGGTATTCATCGAAATAAGATTTTTAAATCAAAAGTTTTAGTTGAAAAACTAATATTAAGAATATCATATTACGCAAAGACCAAATTTTTCAAATTGTAATATTATTAATATAATATTAATATAGTTATCTATACATGTAAAACATATACCTATATATGAAATAATTATGTAAATATTTATCGATATGATTATTATTGATATAATTAATAGGTATATTAATTGAGAAAATCAAACGAACACATGGTGAAAAAATAAACTAACCTAACTACTGCAGTTTTAATAAGATATTATTTAGCTTTATACTATTACGAGATTTTAATTTCAGTAATTTATAATTTATAAATATCTTAGTTTACTTGTAATTTTCAATGTATTGAAGCATTCTCGAGTATTCTAATGTAATAGATTCTGTTTCGTCTTTAATCTTCTCTTTGGCCATAGATAACGAATTGCAATGCTTACCGAAATCCATGTTTAAGATCATTAAAACCTTCTCCATTACAAATATCATGTGATTTATTGTTATCCTGTTTATAACAATAATTACATAATGATTATTAATTGGGGTCCTGTGCATTACATAGTTTTTGTTCAAAAACATGTTTCCTATGGAACATAGGTAGGTTAAGTACCCTTACAACAAAAATACTTTCCTAGACAGTAACAACTCGAGGGTAATTCTGCGATCCTAAAGAATGGTAGGTTTATTTAAATAGGTGAACAAATAGATGATGATATGGTTGCTTGGTCAGCTAGTTTGACATTAGATAATTATGTATATAGGCTATAACAACTATGACTTAATTATTCTTCTTCTCCTTTGCATTCAATCTGGCTCTTTGGAGTCAGCTAACTTCGCCCGAAATTTTCACTTAATCCGATCTCTCACATTATTCTTACATACACCGGACATCCTCATATTATTTTCAATCGCATTCAACCTTCTCTTTTTTGGTCTTCTTCCCGTCACTCCTCCTACGTTTATTTTCACTACCATTCTTACTGCTTCGGATTCCTCACTCTTTGACATCCCCAAACCATCTAAGTTTATTTTCACTAATTTAGTATACTATCGAATCCCGGCCTATGCTACCTCTTGTGTCCTTGTTCCTTATCTTATCTTCTTTCGTAACTTCATTCATCTACCAAAACGTTCTAAACTCATTTTGTGTTCTATTTTTCTATCTACCACCCAACACTACGAACCATACAACATAGCCGGTCTTACCACACTCTTGTTAACACAAGTTTAATCAATTGGATTAATTGTATTAACAAAAAGCAATATATTTAATGAGACAAATATATTTTAATACTTTTATATGTTAAAATGACGGACATACTTTGCACCTGGGTGCAGCCAACGGCAGATTTATGACACTGCGAATATGCGATCGTATAAGGTGACAAATTTTAGAGGGCGGCAAAATTATGTTGAATATTTATTTTGTTTTTATGTATTGCAATTACAATTTTTTTTAACTATACCATTTAAAAATGTTGTTCAGTATATTTGGATTTTGTAATTGTTTATTTTTAGCAAAATGAACTTCATGAAATCATCAATGACGACGACGATTATGCTTTATTATAACTTGGAAAATTACTCATTTATTTGTAAACCTGATAATTTGAGTTTAAATTTGGCCATTTTTTGCTTTTTTTGTGATTTTTGGTTGCATAATCAAAAATTGAAGTCGGAACACTGAAGAAAGTTTTCCTTTTTTCAGAACAAAAATAATAATTAAAATCAAACCACTTTATGAATCACAAGAGTGTGTCCTGTAAAGCACGTTTTGAACAAAAAACTAATCTCTTATTAAGTAATATGAAAATTGAAACTAATAAAACTATTTTTGAAGAATAGTTAAGAATAATAAAATATACTTGTTAACAATTTGTAAAACGTCATGCGTTTAAATAGTAATACCGTTAATATTTATTATAAGTTAGATACAAATTGCCATTTAAAAAATATCTAGTGCCTATCTTTCTAATAAAACCAAGGTTTTCAGTTACATACTTTTTGTTATTAACCGCCTTTTTAACAAGACTATACATGCTGCCAGAGTAGGATCTCGTCGACTTAGTTGACGTCATAGACATTTTTCGTACATTTCTCACAACTTTTTGTACAGGCTGACGTTTTTCCGTACTTAAATTGTACGGCATCCACGACGTGTCTATTTCATCTGAACACATCACAAGAAATGCAGTAATATGTTCAAATACATTAATACCGCAAGAAAATAATAAGAATATGTTATATTATTATATTTTTACTGGTTTGAAAAAGCTCGGGTTGAAGTTTTATTGAATGTAATTCTAACGCTTCGCATTCACATCGGAGTAATGAAACATTGCTTTCTAGAAATTCGATTTTTATTCGTAATTGATCTGGTGTGCAATCTAAATAAAATATATAGTTATAAACGGGCTCTTTTACGCACATATAAAATGTTTTACCCGCAATTCAAGACTCATTTGCACATATTAAAAACTAAAATGTTTAAGTAATATTTATTTCATACTCGTGAAAATACAGTATACACAGTACACAAAATGCAACGAAAATCGTCTATCTTTCACAAACATTATATGAGTGATAATAGTCAATTTTCCACTACTCTCGCACAATTACACCAAGTTATCGATATAATTATTAAAATTCAAAATTAAATTGACTTAAAGATTAATTCGATAAATAGTAAAAATTATCAATTCTAAAATAAAAGAAACAATCAATAAGGAGGTACAATTGTAAAATGTTTAGAAAGAATATTCAAATAAAACTATTGATCGTTTAACTTTCATAAAACATCAGTTACGTCAATTTTCCTACGTTTTTCTGGGTTTTCCTGTGTTTTATCCCGGTTTTTCATATTTGATCCGAAAATTCTAGGAAAATTTAAATTTAATTTAAAAAAAAACGTTGCAGTTGATTTTAACAGTGATAACAACATGTTTCATGATAAGGAATGAAATAAATCTAAAACTGATAGTTTTCATCCATAAAATAATGCATTATAAACTATATCAGTTTTGCCTCCATATCAGCTTTACCCCGTGTTCCCCTATTATTCTTTTAAGCGTATTCAAAAATTATTATACCTACTACAATATACATTTCTAATTTTGTATAATATACTATAATAATTACCTACTGTATTGCATTCTTGTTGGGTATTTTCGGAAATAGTTCAAAATGCAATTTGGTTTTTACCTGTTAATGCCGTTCCTTCAAATGGCTCTTGTTTTTTTACTCCTTTTTCAAAAGACCACAAAACATTCGTTTTACTAAAAGTAGACATATCTAATTCTGTTTAGGAATTTTAGGTAGGTATTTAGGTACTTATATGTTTTTTTTTAAATTAAAATTACTTATTAATTTTTATTATGCCATACTGTAATGTTTATAATATTTATTAGGTAACGATAGTAATCATATTGTTACTTCTTCTTCTGGCTTAATCTATTCTACAAACATTTTTCACCACCACAACTTCACGCCACTTCTTCATATCTTGAATTATATTCCTCCAGTTGTTCACTCCTATCCTTTCCAAGTATTTTTCAATCACATCCATCCATATTTTCCTTAGGCGTGTAATGGGCCCAACGTAGGAATAGAACTCGGATGAGAAAAATTAATAAATAAATTAAAACTTCAACTCAAGTTTACAAATAATTAATACATCACTCAAAAATATTACAAGTCCAATAAATAACTCCTTTAGATCCCTTATTACTTTAAAGGCTGGATTTTAGGCTTTATACTACCCAATTGTCTTAATTTGTTCTTACTAGTAAAAGAAAACCATGAAAAATATTGTAATTGGTAGATAGGTTGTGTTTGAATTTGCGTTTGAAAATCAAATTGGAATACAATTTAGATAGCAACACTTTATATAATACTCTAAGTAATTAATATTTGCAATTAAATGTTTAACTGAGTGTAGAAGAGCTACTAAATTACCTGCTCTATATCCTACTTTTTTAATTTCAAACCTAATATCAAAATTGAATTCAAATAAATGACCAAGTTTACGTTATAATGTAATATTTGTAATATTAATTATTTATCTTTCATTCTGACTATATAATCAATCCAGCTTGATCAAACAAAATCATAGATTTCATTCACTGAAATTGCGCTAAACTTAATAGTAAACTTGCTCTAAAATCCTTAGGTATACTGCTGTTTGGTATATTCTATTTGTGAATATGACTCAATATTATGGTCATATCAATTTGGTCATCAATGTAAAAGAAAAAAATTTAGCTAAAGTTTCTAAGATTCCTCTCATTTGAATACCTAACAACTAAAGAATCACATTCTTTGCACTACCCGCATTTATCAATTCTTTAACTCATTTATGATAATATATTATGTCATACCTGTTAATTCATAGCCAATCTTTTATATTTATTGAATATTGTATGTCACTTTATTATTTATAAAAGATTGTTAGTATTATATAACTAGCTGTCCCGCGCCCAGCATTGCGCGTACCAATACGTGAATGGAATGATCCTAGTTGGATGAAATAAAAATCTTTAACTAAATTTCCATTAATTTTGAGATTGCTTTCCAATTATTCTTGTAAATCTTTTTTTTTTATACTAGCTGTCCCGCGCCCGGCGTTACCCGTACACATTATTATTTCATTCATATTTATTTTTGATTTTGTACCGTGTTAGAATTTAATGAAAACAACTAATTAGATGGTGGGTAGTCTACCTTCCGCGGACTAAATGTGTTCTATTATGAAATTTTAATAGTGTAAATATTAGTAATAATAATAATTATAATAGTTTTCTTTTCCGTGGCAACCAAATTATCATCCATAACACCGAGGTAACCCTTAAATAAACAAAAATTAATAAATAAGCAATTAAATATTCGTACCAAATATACCTAAAAACACCTATTTTACCCTCTTAGGGATTGAATTTTCAAAAATCTTCTCTTAGTGGATGCCTACATCATAATAGCTATCTGCGTGCAAAATTAAAAAATCATTTAGATGAGAAAACTCTTGAGAAAATCGAAAAACTACCTCCTTTAAGTACATCCCCACACCGATTTTCTTTCAGAAAAGGTGCTACACATAAAAATTGGAGTAAGATCTCTGGTAGATAATTTGTCCTCAGAAAAAAAAAATATAACTATCTTTGTAAAACCACATAACTATTTGTTCGCTCCACTTAGAATCTGAAATATTATTGGGGAGGTACTTTAAGTTTTCAATTTTCCCAGAAAATGTGAAAAACCGGGAAAATTGGTACAATACTACAATTTTAAACAAATATTGTTAAAGAAAATTTAATATATCTATTTAAGTATTTGTTTGTTGACAATGCATCATTATTAACTGAACTTTGCTCAGAATCATTTTATAGTACATCATTGCTTACAGATGTCCATTAAATTTCCTTCTATATCCTACCTTACCAACTTCCCACCAACAACCCATCCCACTTATCCTAGTAAAGCTTTTTTTTCTAATATTTGTTTAATATTATACATATCTTCCCGCTTATTTTTTTTCGAGTGTTTCCAATATATTGAGAAAATCAAAAAATGACCTCAAGTCACAAAATTTAAATTTTAGAGTGTTGTTATACTTGTACATTTATTTAAATCTATATTCATAAATTTTATATGACAAATATACTATTATTTTAATTTAATTTATTATTTCTTAAACTGAACACACAAATGTTGGACCAATTTTATTTTATCAGATGTTCTTTAAAAAAAAAAATTAATTTGAACTTTTAATGAAATTAAATTTTAAATGTTCTTTTTTAAAAAATCTTAATGGTTCATAAAAACTTTCCTTAGGGTTAAACAAATATTTTTTTAATAACAGCCAAATCTGTTCAGTCATTTACAAGTTTTGAGCTTACCAACATTTTGAGCTATTCATTTTTATTTACATAGATTTATGTATTTTGATCTGGCTCATTCAAAACTTAAATAAATAATAAATTGCATTCAGTTCTAATTATACAGCATTTCTAACTTAATTAAATGGGCATTATTACTAAAACACAAATATATCAATAACTATCTAATAAAATAATAAAGTAAAAACAAAATTATTAAATGATTAATACTTATAAATATATAAATACAAAATGTATGTATAAAAATAAAAAAAAATAAATAAATAAATATTTTTCCTGGAGTATTATAAGTGTATTATAAGACTTTTTGAATTAAAAATTCATCCCAGGTATATGACAGTCAAAATGTAATTTATATGTAAAAGCATATTATAGATATGTTGATGACACATTAATTTTATTTAGATGTTCAAATAGACAAGCAGAACATTTAGTTAACTACTTAAACAAAATAAATAAAAACATACAATTTACACTCGAAATACAAATAAATAATAAATTAAAATTCTTAGATATAACAGTTTCCATAATAAAAAATAAATTTGAATTTAATATTTACAAGAAACCTACATAAACTGATATATTACCACATGATTTGATTATAATCATGTGGTATCACCCTTATTCTAAAAAATATTTTTTAATTCAATATTATATAGGTTTAAATGTATTCAATTGAACATAATTATCAACAGGAGCTCAATATAATCTATAATATAGCCCATAGAAATAATTTCAATTTAAATACTATTAAAAAAATTGCATAAACGTGTTAGAGAACAAATAATACAAAACTCATAAAATAATATTATTAACTATTGTAATATGAAATATCAAAATAATATGCCTAACAAATTTGCTAAAATTCTGAAGAATAATACAATGTAAAAGACTTTTAGCTTTTAAGACTAATAATAATTTAATCAAAGTGAAATGTATAAATAGTAGAACTAAAAACTTCACCAAAAATCCCCCCTCTTTTGAAAATGCTGGTATATATAAATTTAAATGTAACTGTAATAAATCGTATATATTTAAAATAAGAACAAATTTCTGAAATAAAATTTAAAAAAACTGCCTCTAATTCAAATTTTGCTAAACATGTTTAAGAAAATAACTATAATATAAGTTTTGATATTAACACAGACTTAGGGATATTAAATACTCAAAATAATATTTACATTAATTCAATTTTTGATGAATTACATAAATACAATTAAATAAAGAAAAATAATTTTAATAATACATTAAATGTATTTTAAAAATAAGATATAATATCAATACATTTTAGATAGTAAATAATAACCAAATTATTTACATTATGTTTCTTAACATATCTGTCTAATAATAACTAATATAAAATAATCTTTCCTATTAAAATAAAATATTTCTATGTAAACTGATCAATTTGTACAATTTATTTTTTTCTATATATTCCTTCATTTAATTTTTTATATTCATTTGCGGTTTACATTTTGACTGTGGTATACTTGATGATGAATTTTTCATTTGAAACGGGTTGTATAATACACTTATCATAATACTATAGGCGGCACATTTATTTATTTATTTTTTATATACATTTTTTACTTATAAATTTATAATTATTCATTCATACAAAATAGAATAATTAGTATATAACTTTACCTTAAATCTATAAATCTAACCCTAATTAATCCATTACTAAGGTAGGTGTATAGGTTATTTATGATTCAAATTTAAAACTAAATGTATCTATGTAAATATATGGTTTTTTTAAAACATTTTTTCACAATGGTTGTTTTAACAATTTTCAATCTCATTATTCCTTAATCATACAATGATAATCAAATGATTGATTTGATTGTTGAATTTAGCGCCAATTATAATATTGGTAATTTAAATATAATTTCTAAAGGATTAAACAGACAACATAAAAACCCAATATCAATTATAAAGTTTATTACAACTATGTGAAAAATTTTAAAAAAGAAAATAAACATTTTTGAATATAACAAATTGGTATAAATAACATTTAAATGTTATACAAAAAAAAAATTAATACAGTCCTGAACCAAAAATCAAAGATTATTATTATTATTTATTAACATGCAAATAAATGTAATTAATAAAATGTATTAATTATTATTTGAATCCCTTAAATGATAATGTTATAAATATACAAATTCAAATTTGATCATAATTGAAAGTTTTATATCTTCTATCAGTCATATTAATTAACTAATTGTTATTGAACACAACATTGTTATACTTGTATTAAATTTTGTTTATGTACATTTCAAAATAACACTATTATATAATATTAATTATTATTTTTAGTAGCATAAAACCTTAAATTAATTAAACCTTAATATTAATCAGAATAATTATCATCAGTGTCATTATTTTGAGAAAGAACTCTGTTGAGAGCAGCAATATATTGAGGTGTGCGATGGTAGACATGATTTTTTTTGTGGAATAATTTAGGTCGTTTTCGCTTTTTCTAGAAAAAACAAATTTACATTTTACATTTTAGTATATTAGTAAATAATAAAACTGTATTTTAGATAATGTATTAACTAATTTGTCAATAAAGGTCTATAATATTTATAATTTATAAATATGTCAATAAATTGGCAAAAGTTAATAGTCATATTTTTAACAGATTGTTGATATAATTAAATATAATATTAAATAATATGTAACTTTAGTCTCAATTTCATTTAGTGTATATGCACTCAGTGAAATAAAATAAATAATATTCCATAAGTATAATTTTGTTTTTGGATATATTTTGATTATTTGTACAAAACAAAAAGTTTTTAGATCTAATTTGGATATATTATAGCCATGTTAAAATGTAATAACTAAAGCAAAATTCTATTAAATACATTAAAAAAAAAATATATTTATTTCAAATATTTAGAAATGTTATTATGATATAGGGGTAAGATATTTTAAGTAATGATAAAATAATCAAAAGAATTGGATTGCCAATTAAAAAAAATACACTATGACAAATTGTAATGCATATTAATTTCGCAAAGACATAATGGATGATATTTTTAAGTAGTAATGTAATAAATGAAAATTGAGATTTGAGTATTTTAAGTACCAAAATAATAGTGACTTTGATAAGGATTCTCTGTGTTTGGATAAATTGGAGAGAAATATCAGGCGTGGAGAGACTGACAATTGAGTGTTGGGCAATAGACAGAAAAATAGAACAGATGAGTGTAACAGAGATTAAAATGCTTAAGTGGATGAGTGGAGTCACAGAGAAGATAGGATAAGGAAAAAATATATAAGAGATAGCTTAGATAGTAGATTAAATGAGAACAAATAGACTGAGATAGTTTAAGGATGTAAAGAATTAATAGCAATAATAATGGCAGTGAAAAAAAATATAGGTGGAAAAAGGAAAAAGGGAGACCAAAAGAGGTGGTTAGAGAACTATATGATGACATTTAGGAAAAATTAGTGTATAGGAGATCAAGTGGAAGTTTAGTGCAAGGGTGGCTGACCCCAAATAGTTGGGATAAAGGCGAAGGAAAATATATTATATTAGATGAAATTGTACAAAAAAGATGTGTAAGTTATATCTATATATAATGAATACTGATTAAAATGTAATAATGTATTATCTATTATATATATATATATATATATATATATATAATTAGGTTATTACATTAATAACAATTAATCTATACAAAATGTATTACTCATATTAGCAAAAATCTTCAGAATAAGACTACTATTGGAGGTGTAAAACAGTTATATGTATCAAGATTAAAAAATTTAAATGATAAATATGTTTACCCTTTTTTTTTCACCACGTTTAACTACAGGTGCTGGAGTTAGTAGATCTGAAGATGATTGTTCAGATTGTTCTGTAAGTAATAAACCAATATAATTTTAATTACACATAAATTAAGAAATAATAACAATTTAAACTTTAAAGTATACCTCCATCAACAACCATGCTATAATGTAAAAGATTAAATTTAACAATGTCATATAAATATGTAATTCCATTTTTTCTATAATACAACAGTTCATCTCTTCGTTTTTTTAACAAATATTCTTGCTGAAGTCTTATGTTTAAAGACCACAATTCTAAATCACACATATATCTGCAGTATTTTCTGACTTGGTTTTCGATTCCAGCCATACTCCTATTTTACAAATAATATGATAATAAAAATAAAATAATAATAAATCAAATATTTTGATTGTATAGCTAACATACTTTTCTTCTTGTGTTAATCTCCTCTTTGGTTTATCAGTAGTGAAAAAATATTTATCCATCAATTGAAATTCATGAACAATATCTTTAGCATACAAACGTTCATGTAAACGTCCACAATACATATCAATACATGCAAGATTATAATCTATAATCAAATATTACATTTTACTTCATTTATTCAATGATTCAGATAAAATCAAATACAAAGAAAGTAGAAATAACAATATTAAAGCGTTAAATATTATAAAGATTTAAAGCAGGCAATGGCAACCCATAGAATTTTTTCTGTGGCCCTCTAAATAATATATAATATCATGGTATTTAAAATTTTAATTTTATGTCTTAATTTGTAATAAATAAAATTGAATCATGACTATTATACTATTACAAATATAAGCTAAGAGCTCATTAATAAGAACAACCTTAATAACTCATATGATTGTTATTATCCATAAATTAATACATTCATATTTTTTGTTACAAATGTATTTTTAATTTTCAATGAAAAATTGATAACAAATATGGCCTGCATAAGTAAAAAAGTTGCTAACCCCTGATTAAAAGTATAAATATATTAAAAAAATACAAAAAGTGTCAAAACTATTGTTGATAAATATATGGTTAAGAAATCAATATTTTTATTTCAAATGTCTTCAAACTTCTCAAACTTCTAATAGTCTGATTATATTTTTAGAACAACATAATCTTGTTGTATCATTTTACTAAAATATTATGCAAATTAAACCTATTTATAAAATACAGCTAAAGGGAAATACAAATTTTGTATATTATTGGCAAATTCTACAAAGAGAGTAAAATGTACAAGTATTTTTTTTAAGAAATTTAATTATTAAAGAGTGTATGTAAATGAAGTTCTATTGCATTACATAATACATACAACATAAAATACTACTGATAATTTATAAATAGTTTATTTGTATTTAAAAATCTAAAAAAATTGTATAACTTACTACATAATTGAGAAAATAAGGGTAAAAAGCACCATTCAACCTTCTCTAAATTGTAAATTACAGTAATGTTATTGTTTATTATAAGTTAGAGTAAAAATCAGTAATAGAAATAATAGAATATATTTGATACAATCATTGATTATAAAATACTATAATAAATATAATGGTAAAATGTATATACAATTTATTAGAAAAATTAATAAGAAAATTTCACATATTGTACAATATTTTATATACTTGGATCACAGAAGCTCAAGTTGGCATTTTATGTCTCAATATTAGTATTTTAACTCTTAAACTAATTAACAAACAAATATCAAACTTGGTTATGTTGATGGTTCTTTTTTTCTAACCAATGTCATATATTTTTTAAATTTATTATTTTTTTTTTTACTTTAAAAAAATTTATTTTTGTTTAGTTGTATGCATTTATATGTTATTTAAATCAACTTACACTAAAATAATGAAACATGTTGTATAAGACTAGCTTAATAGAAATTTAAACAAGAATTTTGAATTCAAGTTTCAACATTTATTTAAATTTATTTTGGTTGTTTTTCAATTTTATCTGATTAGCAATATTTTCAACTATACAATTGTCAAAAATCTTTTAAGTACAATCAATATTCACTATCTATCTATAACTAAGTATATTAAACTAAAGGGGAAAAATTAATTAAATCACTGTGAAAATATTTAAATTCTTGGTCAACTAATAATCTAAAATTATCTGAAATAATAGTGTAACTCATTGGTATAATAAGTGATAACAGTTTGATTCATATAGTACTATTTATCATAATCTATTTGGTTTGATGTCAGCATACATACTATTTGATGATAATTTGATTTATAAATAAATGTATTACAATATCATTTGTTGGTAATAATAGTCCAATTACTTTTCTCTATAATATTTCTAGTATTCAGTTAGATAGTGTCTACCATTAGAGATTTGATTTTTTTTTTTTTTTATTCTGATTTTACATTTAATTATAATACAATTATCATAATACAAAAATTTGGTCTCCAATCTATTCTGTTCATATTTTTAAAATTAAAAATGTACTAGGGAAATTTTAGATTCTGAGTGGAATGAAGAAGCTAATAGTATTACAATATTTATTTATTTTTTTGTTCGCAACTATTCTACCAGAAGATTTGATTAGCTTTTTACATGTAACACCTTTTCTGAAAGGAAATTTTCTAATCAAATTTGAAAAACCGAAAAAAAAACCGGAAAATATAAGAAATGTACGTATTAGCTAAAATATATTACGGCCTTCTTTTTTTTTGTGCACAACTTTTCTACCAGCAGTTTTGCTCGAACTTTAAATGATAGCAATGTTTCTAAAAGGTAATTTCATTGGGAGGTACTTTAAAATAGCAATTTTACAATTTTTCCAAGAGGTTTTCCAGGAAATGGGAAAAACACTGGAAAACCTGAAAAAATGTAGGAAAACTGGGAAAATCAGAACATGAAACAATTATTAAAGAAAACATATAAAGCCTATTGAATTTGTTTATGATAAAAAAAACATATATATTGTTGACAAAGCATTATTATCAACCAAACTTCGGTCAGAATCATTTTTTTGTATGCAATGGTTCATTGTTGCTTACAGATATACATTAAATTATCTATAACAGTGACTGCAATCATCCCCATTATCCTAGAAAATCTCTTTAAAATACTTGGCTTTTAAAATGAAGCTACCTATCTTTAAGGATTCGTATTCTTTGATTGGAAACTCAGCTGGCCTTCACATGTATGAAATTAGGTGTTAAGTAGCACATATAATGTTCATTTATGGCCTCATTAATTATAATATCAACTGTCCTGGTTTATTATTTCATGTTGGATTGCATATTCCAGTGCATTTAACGAGATCATTAGTATTGTTGTTTTTCTAATTATAAAACCTAATTATTAAACTAACTTAGCAGCTAGAACTTTTTTCCTTGAAGCTTTATTTTTAACAAACTCTGTATATGTGTATGTTTGTTGATTTGTTTTGATATGTGTCATATTTAATTTAAGTATAATGTTTAGACAACTTTACATTTTAATTCTTAATTTCTTATTTTGTATTCTTTTTTTTTTTTATATTTCGATTTATTTATATATGCACTTATATATTAATTATTTATTTACTTATTTTTTATATCTATTTTTGATTATTTAATACCATTGAATAATGTTGTAATGTTAATTTAAAGGGCATGTGCCCGTTCATGAAATATAAAATAAAATAAGCACCCTTTTAAAAGTTTAATTGGTTTATTTAATAAACAAACTGATATCCAATTAAATTAGCAGTGTATGCTTACTCTACAAAGAACACTTCAATTAAATATAAAAATCAACTAGTAACTATTATAATGCTTAATTTCAAAAACAACTTTATAGGCTTATTATCTACTATAGCCAGACTACTGAAACTTTGAGGATATATATAAGAAGTAATCTTATTGTTTTTGTGCTCTCTTAATTTAATAGGTTGTAAGTATGAAAATTATCACATTGTATATCTATATACTAAATACTTATTTAGGTATTTACCATCGCCAAAGTCATTCCATTCTGATGTAATACTTAATACTGCTTCTGCATTATTATCATAATCATTTTCCTGGATGAATAAAAATATTAATTTAATAGTATAAATGATATACTAAACAATTATATGACAAAAAATGTACAAACCAACTCAAATTCATCTCTTATTGGATTAAATCCAATTTCAGCGTATTGAGCTTTAGATAAACCAGATAAATGAATAAAAGATTCATTTAGTTTAAAACTAACTGTACGATCTTCTAATTGTGGTTTCTTGATTTTACCCCATGTTAATTTTCCAATTATACCATCCAAAAAATACTTTGCAAATTGATATTTAATTTCTATAATTGGTAAAAAAAAAAAAAATAATAATACAATTTTAACTAGACTATCATAAATATAAATATATAATTATATATAAAAAAAAAATTATAATTTACCAGTAGGAGTTCGATTTATTATAGTTTTTGGTAGCTCATCCCAACATCCCAATGAATATTGTTCAGCAAAATCTAAAATATGCATTAGTTCATCACCAGTCCATCCTTCATTAGTAGCTAAATATTGTCCAGGAGGTTTATGACCCTTTAAAACAAAATTTTATTTTTGATAAGTTTAATTAATATCATATAGTAAATATAATATAATAATATAAAGGACATGGTAGGTATTTATAATTAAAATAATATTTACTACTAAATATCCATTTATCTAATTTCAGTGCAATTTATGCAATACAAATAATTTTCAATAAAATTACTGTCTACTTTGTTGATTTTATATTTAATTCTATAGACAATAATTTACTTAGGATGATGCTACACTAGACATTGATGTCTCTGTATATCAAACAGACAATATAGTAAAAATGTGTTTTTATATTTAAATTAATACTCAGGATTTAATACAGCAATCCTAATTTTTTTGTATCAGTATGTCATTTACAAATTTTAAAAATTGATTATGTACTACACAACTTAATATTATTTCACTAAATGAAACAGAAAACATTTACTATGCTTTCACAGAAAGATTTATTTTTTATTTTTCATGTACTAATAAGAATGAAAATTAGATATCAAAGATTACTGGTGCAAGATTTCTGGTAAAAAAATAAATAAATAAATAAAAATCATTGTAAAATACATCATTGATTTTACATTCTTATTAATATTTTTTTTTTTAAGAAATATTAAAATATTACCCAAATATATTTTTCACAATAATTTGAAAAAAAAAAAAAAAAAAAATGAAGTATACTATTTTTTCCAAACTATGACACAAGGATTTCATTATTTTCAAGTTTTACGGCTTATGTTTTCTGCCATAAATATTATTCCAATAAAAAAACAGCAAGAGATCTTTTTTATTCAATTTTTAATGTAGTTGGTTAACAAGAAAAACGTTTTTCGATTTTCTTTGTAGATTTTTAAAGATTTCCCAAATTACTTCCGAATGAAGTTTATTAAAATATAAATTTCACATTCTTATGGTTAAATCAAAAATACATTTAAAAAAAATAAAAATCAATCAAGAGCTAAACTAAAATCATTCCAAATAGTTTGAGAACAATAATAGTTTCTAAAAAAATCATAATATTATCTACCTACACATTAACTTTCAATTTGTTTTATTTTAAATGAGTTTTAGTGTTTTTAAAGTTATTATTCTTATTAATATTTGGCTATTTTTAAACAATTTTAATATGTCAGCAAGTTTACAAAAAATACTGCACAAAATTATGATACAATAATAATTGTTATGTACTATATTATTTTAAATACATAAAATAAAACTTTTTTTCATAAATAAATAATACATTTCAAAATTTCTAATAACCTGTCTAAATAAACAGGCAATTGTTGAATGTTGAATTAATAAGAGGGAGATTATGGGAGATAAAGCTCCTTTACATCACACACAGACTTAAAGTTAACAATTAAGTGAATATCCAAGAATATATTTATAACTACATCAGTGGTTTTCCACTTTTTACATATCATAACACTCTCATTTTTTTTTTTCATTGATGAGGATACTTTTCTAAAATCATTTCATAAAACTTAAATAATACTATACACAATATAAATGACACATATAGTTTTTAGTGACCCCTTCACTATTACACGCGACCCCACAAGTTGAAAACCACTGAACTACAACACTAATTATTACTAATTTGATTAAGCCAAAATTTAATATGTTCATTAAAATCAATTAAATAATAAAAATACCTAACTAATTGACAAATATATTTATTCATCCACCTATTCAAATACATTCAAATACTTATCTTTCATTGCCTACAATTATGAATAGTTTAACTAAGTATAGTAAAACCTGCTTATAACGGAATTGCTCAGTACAAACTGATTTTTCCATTGTAGGGACACTAAAATATATGGAATATAGGTTAAAAAGAACTGTTGTTGTTTTTCGTTTTAAGGAAATTTCCGCCTTATAGGGAGTCCTTTATAAGAAAGTTTTACTGTATTAAAAATTAATGATCACAACTGATTAAATAAAATTTAATGTATTTATTAATAAAAAAGACCAAAATTATAATAAGTATATAGTTAATAGTTATATAATAATACAAATATTACTATACAATAAATAATAAAACAATTCTTACTTTTAATCTATATCCATGATAATTTTTGTGTTCGCCAATTTCTGCTCCATGACTAAAACACTAAAAAATAAAAACAAACTATGGTAGGTATGTGTATGCAAAAATATGAAATTTTAATTGAATATTTAATCAATTCACAAATTGCAAAATACTTACGGTCAAGCATAGTTGAAATTTTGAACATTGTAAACACATTACAGTCAAACTGTCTATAACATCCTGACAGTATGTACAAGTATTGTCCATAGTGTTATAACCTGTAATATTCAAAATAATTTTACCATAATTTACCAATCCTGGTTAAATATAATTTTAATAATTGAATAGGTTTCAATTAAAAAAAAGGATGGACCGACTTCACACTTGGGTGTAGCCACTGTTGTAGGTGAAAAGTTAGGAAGGCAGGATACAGACAGGAATTTAATGTATATCTGTAACTAACTATAAACATTGTTAACGAAAAAACAATTCTAAGGAAAGTTCAGTTAAAAGTGTTGCTTTGTCAACATTATATATTATATTATGATAAAATGATGAAAAAAAGAAAACCAAAACATCTTTGTAAAACTAATATATTCTTCGCTTAACTCAGAATCTTAAATAATTCAATATAGATAAATGTATATAATAAGAGCATACCTACATATTATACATTTTACAGATACATTGTTTTATAGTTTAAGAATGAAAAATGATACACAGCTCAGAACTCAAACCGTCATATACTAGTATACTCACCGAACAATCGGTGTATTTTGTAAAACAATAATTATTATACTATAAAAACCTAATAGTAGGTTAGAATTAAATATACGGGAATATTACTTAATTGAATGATGATGGATTATTTTGATTCTCTGAACGAACAGACAAGTTTCATGGCACGGCAACACAAAGAACGTCAGGACGCATTACATGCGGGACTGCATAAAGGTAGGTAACACTCGTATAATCGTATCAATCGTAACGATAATGTTCGTAGATGTACTCGGCAGAAACGAAATGAACACAGAAATTATATTTTGAAATTAACAAAAAAGGCAAGTTAGCTACATTACCTATCACGACTATCAATAAAACTCGAAAACCGTTTGATAACGTTAAAATAAAACAAAAATGTTTTCGGTTTTGGCAGCGACGTTGCGTGGGGTAAAGCATCGATCGAATGTGCAGTGTACACAGTTCCCACTAGTCAATTGGTCTAAATAACCCTGTTAACGCGACAATAGTTCCACTAAATACTAAATAGTCTATTGACTTTTACTATTTAGATTTTAGATACGATCCGAATAAGACATTTTTGTTTAAGAGTTCAAGATTTTAAGATAAATTTTGTTATAATATTAAATTTTATTATTCAAAAATGTACATCATTTTTTACGTCTTTTATTGACAAATTGATGCTAAGTATTAGTTATTAATATTACAAATAAGATCAATGTAGAGTTAATTGTTAAATAGGTACTTAGTCAATATGTTGTTTAATTACTTAGCAGAACGTGTAAGTATATTTAAATAAATATAAATAAGTAACCACTAAAGAAAATTTCGTAGATAAATTAATAATTTATAAACAAAATGTTGACTAAGTGTTTAACTTAAATAAGATTTAATTTGTCGTCTTCGTTATTTGTAATATTATAAAATGGCATTTTACATAGTTTCCATATTATATCACGTCTTTTAAAGATTTAATCATTACTAAATTTAATTCTTTTTAACTTCGCTTTTTACACGAAGTTATAACGAAGATTTTCAGTGTGATATCAGCTATTTTTTTTTATAAAACAAGTCACGATTTTATTTGACTTTGTTAAACCTGAAGATGAATTTTGATCATTTTTTTTTGTCTTAATCATATATTGATTTTGGTTATTATGTATTATATATAGTAATAATAATAGTAATAATAATCCAACTAGCATCGCTGGACTCCTGTTGTTATGCCTAACATTTTTTATTTGTATCTAGATAGTTTTTTTTTTTTCTAAAAGTATAATGTAAATATCTTTTTCATCTAACAGAGGGTCCGGCTGCATCGTCGTCGCCACAGCAACGAAAGTAGCAGAATGGAAAAGCGGCGGATCGGGGGACAATTATATTTTATGTAATTGTCGCCGCAGCAACGAGAGTAGGTATTTTACGATATTTTCGTCGAAAAAACAGACTTGAAAGTACTAGAATATTTTTGGTTAACATTTTGAATCCATCTAACCAATCTGATTGATTGACACTTTATACGACTTTATATGTTCAGCCGTTTGTCCTGTAGAGCTGGCCGATGGATAACAAAAATTGGCACAGTTTTTCCATGGTACAACTCGGTTTCTCGTTACTATACGTTAGTGGCTATTTATTTATATTTATAATGACAGGCTATTTTTTTTTTATTTTTACTTAGCTTCGCGCCACTACAGTCGCGCTGGATATCCATTGCAATAAATAGATCACGGAAATAATTGATATTAATTTATTTATTTTAATATAAACATCAAATTAAATTAATTATTTATTAGAGATTATTGTTCTCAATATTACTACTTACATGCACGAATTAAGATTTATGTTAGTGATTGGAATAATCGAGTAACTCGATTATTTTAATTTATCAAGTAATTCGATTATTTTTTCAATAATCGAATGAAAAATTAGTAATTACTAATCAGTAGTTACCGTTTTTATATTTACTGGTTTAGTAGTTGGTAGTTACTCGAATCAGTATCAATAGGTAATCAATCTTATTTCCTTTTACTATTCTACAAATGACTAATATTACCTATATTACTATTATCTGATCGCTGCGGATGGCGTGTCGGAACATTCATAACTATAGTTGCCAGCACGACAAGAGACGTTCTCATTTCGCGTAAAGTATATACAATATTCAATAAATCTAAATAAAAATAATCCGAATACCCAGAAAATAATCATTAGAGAAATAAATAATTGTTAATTGATATTATTTCTATTCTAATTTTGATCACACACGTTACTTATATAATATGATATTTAACTATAATATAAAAAATTGAAAAGATACTTTATTTAGGTACATATTAATTGTAACATTTATTTCATTTATTGAAATCGTCCGCGTATAAAACACATGTATCATCGTAATGATTATTTTTGTCCATTTTAGAACAATAAGAAAGTATTGAAAATAACGAAATCATTGTCTTTAAAGTATTATATAGATCCAAAATCCAAACAAAAAAGGTTTCTTTTGACTAGGGCAAGATTTCTGGTAGACCTTTTTGTAACATTTAGCTCATAATATTATATAGTATGAATTTACACGATGTATTCAGTGATTCTTATTGACACGATTAGGTACATCCAGTGAATCACTCGATTATGATAATCAAAATAATGGGTATTGATTAGATAATGACTCTTATCTATTCAATTAGGTACATTATTTGGATTATGAAAATATCTCGATTGCTAATCTCTCAATTATCGAAATCATTCTATTATTCTGATCACTAATTTATATCTTAATTCGTGTTTACATGTGACATTATTCATTAGTACTTGTAGAAGTGAGTACAATAATTATTTTCCTCTAAAAGTGGCTAGCCTGCAGAGAGTTTACTTGCGCTACACTGTAAAATTCAACGGCGTTTCTATCTTACTCAATGATTTATAATCAATAGTACTTTGGCGGGTTACACCAAGACACGAGGTTTATAAGGTAATAAAGAAACGTTTATTTACAACATAAAGACATAAAACAAGTGGTCGCCAGCAGACGGCTTTTGACGGTGGAAAAGGCGAGCACGCAACAATTAAAAACAACATTAGTTAAGAAAAACAATGTTACATAATAATTATTCGGAGTCGAAAAACAATGTTTCGCGAATGGTGTCGGTGCGGAGTGAGCGAGCGGAGCTGTGGACGATGACCGTTAAACGCCGACGGCGAGGGGCGTGGCCGACGTCCGCCGCGAGCGACGCGCAGCGGGAAGAGAAATGTGGCGCGAAACCCGCCACAGTACTATGAATATTACACATACTCGTATTATTTTTTAAATTATTTTGACGTTATTACTCTGTTGACTGTTTTAATATTGTCTTCTAGAGCACTTGTGCGTGCATTTGCACTCGTTCTGGAAGACGACGAGGGTGGTTTAGCTTTTTATTCATGTTTGCCCTAAGTGTCCTCAAACTGGCTAATCGCGGAAATTAACGGCAGACGTAGAATTGTAGAAATTCGCAATTATTTTCTACTAATCTTGGACTACTTATAGCATCAGTTTTTTTACTTTTTACTATTTCATAGTTTTACCATACAGGATCAATAAAAAGTTCCTTCGTCGTGGCTTGGTAGAGAGGTTCTCTTTTTTATCTGTTTAACATATTTTCCATTTTAATTTTTAATTATTTTAATTCATTTTAATTTGTATAACTAACAAAACTAGACTATAAATTAATCAATCACATTATCAGTGATTATCAGTTCGCCATCTACTATATAATCGTAGTATAATAATTGATTGTTTTAGTATTCAATCGTTTCGATAGGTCGATGGTTCGGTGATCGACAGTCGATAGTGTCGATAGTTTTTAAAAACAATCGAGTAAATAGATAGTTCTCACGAATTAAGATATACAGGAATACAAGATACTGAACCGAGAGCAGAAAGGTCTTATGTTTTTCTAAGTCTGCCCCATAGAGTAAGATGGACTCTATACTCTATGTATTCATGGGGGTATGATATATAATAAATTGCGGGTTCGGTGAATTGCGTTCTAAAAATAAAATCTTAATACGCAACTAGGTGAATTGCGTCCCCGATATTTATGATAGTATGAAATACTATACACGCAAAATGTCGTTCTAAGTAATATAGCAGCACTGAAATAGAATGCCTTCTGGACAATAATTTATAAAACGGATTATATTATGACTAAACAAAGAGATATAATTTTGTTTATCAGTCCGCAACGTAGATAATGTATAATTATTATCTAATATATTATCTATGGCCCGCAGTTGTGTTAGTCCTATACCACAGTTATATATACGTAGTGGGATCAAAAAGTTCCCGGAATACTTGAATTGCGCGCCAACGCAGTATCCAAGAGCAGTATGATTGATATCACTGGATTCTGTGACTTCTTCGGAGTACATCTGTGTTTTTAGATTCTCTATAACTTTCTTTGTTTCGATGTGATCGATGTTTTCTTAAAATATTTTTTTCGAATTTGGCGATTTTGTAATGAACTCAAACAAAAGCTTTTTTGATGGGGGGNGGGGGGGGGGGGGGGGGTTGGAATGATTTTTCCTTCTATTTCGTTGACAGAATCTTGTTTGGTTGAGGAATGCAACGTTACACATGACTTTTGTCAACAAATTGCAACTGAAAAACTGCAGATGTGCCGAGTGAAAGTTTTTCTCGAGAATGTGGACAAAGGTCCAAGTTCAGGTTAATCAGGAACTTTTTGGTATAATTAATTACTAAAAACATTTTGACAGTTTATCATAATAATAATCACTACGTGTATAATATTATGTTATCATAAACATGAAAGAATAATTTTCTATAACCAACATCCTCCTCCCTCCCTCCTCAAAAGCTTTTATTTTGGATTTATTACAAAATCGCCAAATTAGAAAAAAATATTTTAAGAAAACATCGGTCACATCGAAACAAAGAAAGTTATAGAGAATCTACAAATACAGATATACTCCGAAGAGTCACAGAATCCAGTGATATCAATCATATTGCTTATGGATACTCCGTTGGAGCGCAATACAAGTATTCCGGGAACTTGTTGATCCCACTACGTACATATCTGTGTCATAGCCCAGTAAACATATTATCAGGTCTATGGTATAAGTCTTCAGTCGTGTTTATATTTAATTTTTCGTTAAAAATGAAGTTCTTAATAAGTGCAACAAATAGACAAATATTGGTAATTAAAGGTTTGAAGTTTCGATTCCTAAAAATTTATAACAAATGATATATAATGTATATTATACGAATTATATAATTTGAAAAGTAAAAATAAATAAACTTATTAAACAATTCACAAAATATTAAATTACAATAAGGAAGCAATTCACCTGGTTTTATAAAAATTAGCCGCAATTCACCTACCACTATAAATTCCAAACCTATCTATTCTTATAAT